ATAATAGACAATGATTAAATTTAGAAATGGTCACATGAGCATCTGGTCACATGGTCACATGGTCACATGGTCACACGGTACAGTCACATGGTCACATGGTCACACGGTCACACGGTCACACAGTCACATGGTCACACAATCACATGGTCACATGGTCGCATGGTCACATGATCACAAGATTCAATATAGTAACAATGAGTCATACGTTCTTTCAAAGAATAAAAAATATACTATATACAAAAATGAATGAAGAAACATTTCTTTTTTATCTGGAGAGAAGTATGGGAAAAGTACAAATCTTGAAAGAACGTATGACTCATTGTTACTATATTGAATCTTGTGATCATGTGACCATGCGACCATGTGACCATGTGATTGTGTGACCATGTGACTGTGTGACCGTGTGACCGTGTGACCATGTGACCATGTGACTGTACCGTGTGACCATGTGACCATGTGACCATGTGACCAGATGCTCATGTGACCATTTCTAAATTTAATCATTGTCTATTATGAAATATGAACCTGTGACCTTTGACCGTGTCACCTGTGACCATGCAACCATATGATCTATATGACTCTGTGACCCTGTAACCTCTCCGATTGTGACCATGGGATCTAAATCCTCATGTCTTCCATACATCTATCCAAACATCAACACATATGATATTATAACCTATATGACTGTCCTAAATGACCTCGTGACCCAAACTGTCCCATTTAACTCGATTTTAACTATTTCACATCTCAATTGATTACTTGAATGCAAACCCAATATTCTACTTTGAAATCTCCAAAATTTTAAAAACACAAAACCCTAATTTTTATCAGTCAAATCCTGAGCGACACTTCAACTCAACAATAACAAATTTCAAAATCCAACAAATCTGAAAAGTAGTGTTTGTTAACCTAACCACGTGTTCATCTAACTTCGAAATATACATACGTTTCTTATTCTCGATCGAAGATGATGAAGAAGATGAGTACAATGATGATTTTGAAGCCATGTTCTTCGTCCTCGTCGTTACTTCTTGTTTGAATCTCAAATATAATCGGAGATTTGAAGAGAAAACATAAATTTATGAGAGAAATCGAGATTTAAGGCACAAATCGATGAGAGATTGAGAGTTTTGAGAGAGAGAGATGAAATTTAGGAGAGAGAGATGAAACTTAGGAGAGAGAGATGACAGATCGTGACTTAGAGGAAAGAGAAGAGAAAATATTTTTTTTTAATTTTGAATTTTTTAAATTGAAATAAATAGAGGGTTTTTTGTCTTTTCATTAATATGTGAGGATTTTATTGTCTTTTAACATGTTGAAGAGTGTTTTTTGTTTAATTTTTTGTTTTGAGAGTAGTGTTAGAAGTACAAATAGCAGTAAAGGGGTATTCCAGCT